CGGGCCTCTGACGCGCCACTGGGGACCCGGGGACGTGCGGCTCGTAGTCCTTTGGGGAGAGGGGGTTGGGAATGATGCGGCGTGCTGGTAGTGGGGAAGAAATAAAGCGATCGGCTTTCGAGTTCAGACGGGCGGAAATCCTAGCTGCGGTTGTCACTGACTGTGGAACTTCAGGCAGCCCCGCTGTCGTTTCCCAAAACGTTTCCTCTTCTCTGAAACACTATGGCTGACTGGATGCGTGATTACTGAGCCCTTAGGCAGTTTCGGGTTCAAGGAGTGGAGACGGTGAAAAAGGAAAACGAAGTCCTTGCTCTGGAGATACTGTGCGGGGTGGGGGTCCTAGAGGGGAGGAAACCTGAGAGCTCAGGGGATGGGGGCGTGCAGGAAAGAAGTGATATCTGAGCTGGGACCTCATAGGATGGGTGAGATTTCATCTGGCAGACAGTGGGAAGGAGCTGTTAGGCTGTGGAGGTAGCATGCGTAAAGGCACTGTGGCCAGAAATGCGGGGTGTGTGAGAGACAGGTGAAGACGGGAGGCGGAGTCAGCAGCCAGACTGCGCAGGGCCTGGGGGCAAATGCTCACACGCCGCCGCGGAGAGGGCTGCACTGCAAATTGGCGCAGTTTTTGGAAGGCAGCTTGGCACTGTTTACCGGAAGCATGAACGCGTGCTCCTCTTGAGCCAAAGCTCCCCTTCCAGGAATTTATCCCATGGATCTCTACGCATACAAGTGCACGCGAACACCTGTGTCGGGATGCTCCTTGCTGCAGGCTTTTTTGTCGCACAAAACTGCAAACAATCTAAACATCCATCTGTAGAGGACTGGCAGGTTAGGGGTGGCACATCCACTCAGTGACACGTTGTGCCGCGGTTAGAGAGGAGGAGCTGGACGCGTGTACAACAACTCGGGAACAGGGCAAGACATGCAGGGTGTTAGATGGTTGAGTGTCAAACGCGCCAATTCTGACAGAGAGAAAATTATATATGCACTTATCAATGATATATTAAATGCATCTACATATGTAATTTTTGTTTAAAATATATTTATATAAATATATACTGGTGTCTATATATAAATATCACATATCACATTCACAGGCACCTTACATACAAATATATACACACAGTTCACCCTCTGTATCTGAGGGTACGCCCCATGTTCCAATTCAACCAACGATGTATCAAAAAATACTTGGAAAAACTGGATCTGTCCTGAATATGTAGGGACTCTTTTCTTGTCATTACTTTCTTTTTAAAAAATTTTATTGGTACATTTTTATATGCATAATGATAATATTCACCAGAGGGAATATGTACCTGTACATGATATATCTTGCTTTTTTCCCCATTCCATTCCCCTCCTTTCAACCCCCTTTCCACTCCTTATTTACAAAACCTTTGTTTCCATTTTTTTCTTCTACTTTTTTTTTTTTTTTTTTTTTTGGTACTGAATATCAAACTCAAGACCTTGAGCTCGTGAGGCAGCAGCACTACTGAGCTAAACCCCCCACCCCGATCTAGTCTTTTTTTCTTGTCCCTTTCTTCCTTTCCCCTCTTGCTCCTTTGTTCCCCTTCTCATTTGAACATTTTCTTCCCATTTCTCAATATCTATTATACACTCTGATCCTTATTTTAATTTTAGGTTTCTCACACTAGAGAGACAATGTGGTATTTAAACATGTGTGTCTGATTTATTCACTTAGGTGTATGGTCTCCACGCGCATCCATTTAGTTAGAAATGTCTCAAGCTTATCCTTTCACTGGCAGAGTGGTATTCCATTGTATATAAAAACCCCACATCTTCTTTATCCATTTGTCAGCCGATGAGCATTTGGGATGTTTCCAAGATTTAACTATCACAAATGTGCCACTATAAACATATATTTCTGTGGTATGGTGTTTTTAATTCTTTTGGGAAGATGGGAAGAAGGGGAATAGCTGGGTCAAATGGAATCTCTAGTTTCAATTTTTGAGGAACCTTCACACTGATTTCCACAGTGGTTGCACCAGTCTGTACTACCACCAACAGTGAAGAAACTTTCCTTTTCCCCCACATCCCTTCCAGCATTTGTTATTGGTTGATTTGTTGATAGCAGCCATTCTTTCTGGAGTGAGATGGAATCTCAGCATTGTTTTCATTTGCATCTCTTGAATAACCAGTGATATTGAACATTTTTCATATATTTATTTGCCATTTCTACTTCTTCATCTGAGAAGTCTGTTCATTTCAGATGCCCATTTTTGAATTGGATCTTTAAATTTGGGAGGTATAATTTTTTGAGATCCTTTTATATTCTAGATAATAGTCCTTTATCTGAGTAGCTGGTAAATATTTTTTCTCACTTTATGAGTGTCTTCACTCTGTTGGTGGTTTCTCTTTCTGTGCAAAAGCTTTTTAGTAAGATGAGGTCCCAGTTGTTGATTCTTTGTAGTATTTCCTGTGCAGTCCCTCACACAGGAAAGGGATTAGAGCGGGGGCAGAGAAATAGAAGTAAAGGAAGAGATTAGAAACAGGGACAAAGGAAAAGTGTGGGAACTTTGGGAAATTGGTGAAGAAGACAGGAGGCAAAGACACAAGGAAGAAATAAAAACCAGAACATAACAACAAAACTGGAAACAATGTTTACACTCCTATAAAAATAAGAACAAACAAGATAAAAAGAAAAGTGAAACAAAAGAAAAAAAAAAGTTCACTCAGGGCCTGTCTCTGGTGTCACTGGTAGACAGAGTACCAGACAGAGCCCAGATCTACGATGATTAATCCCAGGAAGCCAGTCATAGATATACAATGGGGTAGTGGGATAATCCCCGCAAACCTGTACCTTTAATTTCAGTTCAGGTTGGTTTCTAGCTGTAAGAATGTTTCTAGCTATAAGAATTTGTTCAGCCTGCAACACTCTACATGCCTTTTGCTGGCTTGAACTTGCCCCTTGACCTCCTGATGACTGAACTGGGTTCCACCTCACCCTGACACTGGGAGCTGCTAGATGGAACCAGCCCACAGCTGCTTTAAGTTTAAAGCTCAGCTGGCCCATTTCCAAGATGGCTATTGGCCAATCGCCCTCTCCTGGGGGACATTGGAACCCTAATAACACCAGCTAGTGCAGTCCACTGTGTCTGCTGCTCCATTCCAGTGACACAGTTGTCTGTGGAGCCCCCTGGGGTTACCAGCAGTCACCATGCACTTACAGGTTCAGGCTTCCCCTTCCGCACAGTGAGTCAGGGCTCAGGGAGAAAGCTCTGCTCTCCGCCTCCGTCTTCTGCTTTGAGGTCTCTCTCTTCACTCATCTCATGGGCTTCAATTCTTACTTCTGATCCTTGATGGGTCACAGGGACCCATTTCCCTCCTTTTCATCTTCCTCACATTGCTATGTTCCAGTGTTTGGACTCCAAATCTCGGAGAGGCTCTTTCTCTGCTGTTCACCACTGTACCATCTTCCTGGAAGTCAAAGTTTCATCATTTTCTAAACAGTACAGTGTAACTACTATTTACATAGTATTTATATTGTATTTTAAGTATGTGGAGATGATTTAAAGTATATAGGGAGATATGAGTAAGTTAGATGCAAATACCGTTTCATTAAGGGACCTGAACACCCATCGATTCTGGTATTTGCTGAGGGTCCTGGAACCCATTCTCTGTGGCTGTACGCAGAGGACACCTCTGAGACTTGCAAAAAACAGCTCATTATTAATTGTCTTTATCTTTGCCTAAGCTATTTACTTATAAGTGTATACATACATCTACATCTATCTATCTTCCGGCAAGTGGGCCTGAGAAGGCTCAGGAAGGGAGGCTTTTAAGTTCATCACTTCTTTCTTTGTGCTGTTCGATTATTTTACTTTGGATAGTGTGATGTTAAGAAGTAGTATGGGAGGCATTATTTTTGGTTTAATGGCATTGGACTTGCTCTCTTCCTGTGTTTGGGAGCTCCCACAGGAGCAGAGCCTACCTCTCCTACTAAGAATTGATAGGGCCAAATACTTGCTTTTCTAGCCTTCCTTGTAGCATGGACATGTGACTAACACGTGCAGCCTCAGACCACCAACCCAGAGTGGGAACTTGAGGCTGGT